AGATTTGGCCCAGTGTTTTTTGCACAACGGACCAATACCGGTCTGAATCCGCTTTCTGGATTTGAAATAGATAAGGATCACATGTAGGCCAGAGTTACATTGAATGTTACCAAATCAGGCCCATATGAACACCAGAGTCAAAGTTAAATTCAGAGCAGCTTCCAGTGGTGGCAGTGAGTGGCTCTGTGGGCTAAGCCTCTGTGCCTGAGATCCAAAAGTTGCTGGTTCAAGCCCCAGCAGAGAACACTGCACATTAGGTGGCCCTGCTCTGTGTCCTCGAAGCTGTAAACACAGCTACAATGTTTCTCGTATACCTTCCCCATAGGTGAAGGGAGGATTCAGGAGCAGAACTGGTCGACAGTCAGTCTAGAAAAAAATGAGTCTGAGCCACATTTAACAAAGAAACATGCTTCATTTACACAAGTACATGACAAGCAGGTCACTTGTCTTACAAGCCGCATACCTATCTCATCCCAAGAGGCCTGTGTGTGTTTAAGTATTGGAATGCTTCTCTTCACTACCATCATCTCACCCTTCATAGCTTGGGGATCACAGTGCAGGGCCACCTAACCTGCAGCAATCTCTGCTGAGGCCGGGGCTTGAACCAGCCCACAGAGCCACTCACTGCCCCCACTGGAAGCTGCTCTGAATTTAACATTGACTCTGGTGCTCATACGGATCAGATTTGGTAACATTCAATGTAAATCTGGCTCATATGCAGTCCTTATCTGTTTCAAATCCAGGAAGCGGATTTGAACCAGTATTGGTCTGTTGTGTAAAAAGACACTGGGCCAGATCCAGTTTACGGATCTGCGGCAATTTCTGAACAACATTTGGCCCAGACCCGGTTCAGACTCATCTCGCTATGTGGGGCAATCGTCCTTCAGATTCTTAGCTCATCAGTTAAGTGAGTGATCGTACATATACGGTCAGGCGAATGTGCGGCGGATCTTCAGAGTGTATACAGACCAACAGTATCATTCAGAACTCTGGACAGATTCTGGTGCAGATTCTCCTGGCCGGATGTCATCGGTGCCCGAATTTAAGGAGATGCAGGCGGATCTGACCCAGAATCACTTGCTATGTGGGTGTGTAAATCTTGCCATTCTTCCTCATGCTTAGAAGTTCTGGATCCATTTGGGTGCAACAGCATGCAGAGATCCAGCTGAGAGAGACGCCGCGTGGAGCTTTACGGCAAACGTGTCTGTGCCACTGCCAAAGCGCATAGAGGAGCAGCTTCAAAACAAAGCACAGTATTGGAGAGAGTTATCTGCAGGGACAGCTGCCCACATCAAGAATAATTCAAAACTAAACCCCCAGCTAATCGCTTGAACTAGCTTTGTAAACTGATCATTATCACTCCGGAATTATTACAAATCCTAATTATCACATGATGATATTATAAAATGAATCACTGTCAGGCTGCTGATTTAAATGACTTGAGTCTCAGGACCTAATGAAAATTCTCAGACAGACACACACAAAGTCTCCTTCAGAAGTCTGCCAAGACACCTGACCCCAGCCCCTGCAGGATCACGGCTTTGGATATCCCTTTCATGTGCCACTCAACCAGAAGGCACAGGCAACTCAGACCACCATGGAGAAAAAGATGGTGGATCCTTAGGGCCAGCTGGCATACATGCATGTGACAAGAACTTCTGTCCTCTTATATCTTAATGCCTGAGGCTTTTTAGGATGTTCTTCAAGTTGCCAACCTTTAGAAGGAATGATGTAGCAACGGAGCAAGCAAAGAACCTCGGAATCACCCTGGACCAGCAGTATCCTGGCAATGACTTGAACATTGAGTTATTCCTCTAGATGAGAGGTTCATAACCTGGGGTCCATCAATGGGTCTTAGGGGGTCTGTGATGGTCAGAATAAAAATGAAAATTATGTTCACTGTATTTTATATAAACATGTTTCAGTTTTGCCGCTATATATACGAAATGTTTTGTATGAAATATATTCATTGAATACAAAATTGAGTTTATGTGCATATTGCCGGGAGGAGCTCCGTAACTTTAACCAGGGGTCCATGACTCAAAAAGGGTTAAAAACCACTGCTCAAGATGATTACAAACTATCCCCCATCAGTGCAATACTACAAATGTTTAATAAAATATTGACTAGAACCAACAGTTTTAATGCTGGAACTCTGCTCTTCCAAATAGCATACACACCAGGTCCACAGATTTGGCAAGTTTTGAAGTTTCTACCACGCTTCAGGAGACACAGGTGCGGAAGTTCTGCGAGATTTGGTTTGGGGAATGCTACCAAAAGTCATTCATCATCAAGGTATTTAACCTTGTGGTATATAACAGCCTCTGAAAAGCAAAGAATAATAACCATTGGGACACCTGTACCTACACTATATTGCCAAAAGTATTGGGACAGACCTCCAAATCATTGAATGCAGGTGTTCCAATCACTTCCATAGCCACAGGTGTATAAATTCAAGAACCTAGGCATGCAGACTCGCTGTTCTCCGGAGAATGCGAGAGTCTACCCGTGGGGTCGATTTCAGACCCCCCTCCCCAGAAAGCTCTAAGGAGAAGCCTGGGCTACCCCCTGCTAAATATTCCACGGTCAACTGTTAGTGGTATTACACCAAAGTGAAAGCAATTGGGAACAACAGCAACTCAGCCACGAAGCGGTAGGCCACGGGACGACGCATGCTGAGGTGCACAGTGTGCAGAAGTCGCCAACTGTCGGCAGAGTCAATAGCTACAGACCTGCAAACTTCATGTGGCCTTCAGGTTAGCTCAACAACAATGCATAGAGAACTTCATGGAATGGTTTTCCATGGCTGAGCAGCTGCATCCAAGTCTCACATCACCAAGTGCAATGCAAAGCCACTGGACTCCAGAGCAGTGGAGACGTGTTCTCTGGAGTGATGAATTATGCTTCTCTGTCTGGCAATCTGATGGACGAGTCTGGGTTTGGCGGTTGCCAGGAGAACAGTACTTGCCTGACTGCATTGTGCCCAGTGTAAAGTTTGGTGGAGGGGGGATTATGGTGTGGTGTTGTTTTTCAGGGGTTGGGCTTGGCCCCTTTGTTCCAGTGAAAGGAGCTCTTAATGCAGCAGCAAAAGCCATTTTGGACAATTTTATGCTCCCAATTTTGTGGGAACAGTTTGGGGATGGACCCTTCCTGTTCCAACATGACTGCACACCAGTGCATAAGGCAAGGTCCATAAGGACATGGATGAGACACTCTGGTGTGGAGGAACTTCACTGGTCTGCACAGAGCCCTGAACTCAACCCGATAGGACACCTTTGGGATGAATTAAAGTGGAGACTGCGAGCCAGGCCTTCTCTTCCAACCTCAGTGCCTGACCTCACAAATGCTCTCCTGGAAGAATGGTCAAAAAATCCCATAAACACACTCCTAAGCCTTGTGGACAGGCTTCCCAGAAGAGTTGAAGTTGTTATAGCTGCAAAGGGTGGGCCAACTCCATATTAAAGCCTATGTATTAAGAATTGATTGTCATTAACGTTCATGTGTGTGTAAAGGTAGGTGTCCCAATACTTTTGGCAATATAGTGTAGTATGGCTTAAAAGAACTCATAAGAATGTATGGGGATGTATGAGAATGCATGGCTTCTCCAAGGAGTGCTTCAGGCCTTAATAACATTTTACTAAAAAACAGGCTGAAATAAAAACAACACAAAACAGGCGATGACCTGCTGTCATTGTTAATTAATGTCTAGACACACGCACACCTGTTCATGGCAGGCAGGAGGATTTCTGATTAGCATCTCTGAAGAAAAACTGCATAAACAAAACAAACAAATGATGCTGAAACTGAGGGAAAGTATTTAGACTCTTCAGTGAAACAGTGCCTCCCTTTATATACATGGTCAGTGATGCAGGCTTATAATATCAGAAATTGCCAGAAGAACATGCTGCACAGAGCAGTTTGAGGGCTGCTTCTCTCTCTCTGCAACACATTCATGTCAAGTTCAAACACAAGGTGAAACTCAGGCGATGAAACAGCTGTTATTTTAACCAAAAACAAAAAAATAAAAACTCATTACAGGTTTAAATGTTCCATAACTGTGCTTAAACATTATCAAGCTACACCACATGATCTTCCAGCAGAATGGTGTCAAATTCCAGTAAATTAAATAAACACAGATTTTCTGATTCTTCTGCTTAATCCCTATACAACTAAGAATATAAGCAAGAGTGTTTGGGGACGGAAGCACAGTCAGACGGCCATCCTGCTTCAGGTTCATTTGTACACCTTGTTCATGGTTTCAGCTTATGCTGTATGTTCCGCACATATTAATGAACTTGTACTAAATAAATAAACTCACCACACTAATAGAATAATAAACAAATGCAGATTTACTTTAAATAATCTATAAACAGATTTGAACAGCATCCAGAAAAAATCTTTTGAAGCAGCACAATCAAACAGTAAATTGGTCTGAACTAATTTGGATATGTTAGATTATGTTTTTTTTTTTATTAAGTTTGATGTTTTGAGGTGAAATGTTATTTTTAAGTCTTAGTTGACCTATGTACTACGTTTTAGATTCCATAGGGTCTTACATACTGAATATCGGCCTCATATAATATAAATGGCTCCTGTGGGGGCGTCCCTATAAATTTACCATTAGTGGCCAATCAGATGCTACGCGAATAGCTAATGTATTCGGACCCAATTATTGTTTATATAAGTAGCTATTAAACATACTAACATGATTTAATTTTATAACTATAATGTTAAAATATGTTATATAGCATATAACAGGGTGTGCATATTGCCCTCTGAAATAAAATTATGGATGATATAATACACATCTACATATTTGGTCTACAATACAATACAAAAAAAAATAGATATCCAACAACTAAATACGATAGGTCACATGGTCATGTGGTGTATGGATGCTCCCTATTATTGGCTGTATGGGTGACTCAAAACACTCCATAATGATGGCAATGAGAATAACGGACTTTGCCAGTTGCTATTAACTAGTGCAGACGACTTACCAGGCTTTGGGCCTTCCCTGCCTCCCCGCGGGTCATAGCCCTCTCCCTATGCAAGGCCATGCTGAGCTCCTTCCTCGCAGCCTCCCTCTCCTGCCCTGCCACACGCACCAGCTCCTCTTGCATGATGGATTGTTCACGCTGAACCCTGGGGTATCACATGCAGATAGCACTGGGACCCTGAGTCGGATCGTCTATCCACTGATATCACACTTCTAACCACTACGCAGACATAACGTTCACACCACAAAAAAAAGCACATCTCTGGAACAAAGCCAGCACTGTATACATATCAGGCCCATTACAACTTATCGTTTTAACCTCAATTTAAATATTTACCCTGCAATACTGTTAACTTCCACAAGGTGGCAAAGAATACCGCAAATAACAATATAGCAGTGTAGTTTTTTATATTTTTAGAATTGAGCCCTGATTTCCAGCCAATGGCAGGATGGCTCTGTAAAGGTTAACCAGTATTAAATGAGAAATGTCTACTATTATTTTACTCTTCTATCAGTTCTTTATAAGACATGGTATTTCCTCAGGTGTTCTTCCAGAAGATCATGCCTTCACTGTGAGCTTATGGAAGAACGCAAGTGAGTTAGTAAGTAATTAGTTTATTTATATAGTGCCTTTCAAGAAAAATTTGTTGAAAAGAGGAACACAGGTAATAAAACAAAGATATTCAAACATCAATAAAAGGCTCATCTGTACATAAAGGTTTTCACAAGCCGTTTAAAGGAGCCCACAGTGCTGGCTGCTATAATGTCCATTTTCAGACTGTTCCACAGGCTTTGGTGCAACACCTGCAAAAGCTCAGTCAGGCCTGGACTTAAGCTTCGGCCTGGGGGTCACAAAAAGACCCCGATCACATGACCTGAGTGTCCTGTTTGAGTGTCACAGATATAAGTGAGCGCCTGACTGTTAAGAGCTTCATAAGTAAACAGAAGAATCTTAACATCTCTCCTATATTATACTGGGAGCCAGTGCAGCGAAGCCAGAACAAGAGCCAGTGCTACTATGCTGTGGTATATATGCAGTGCTTTGAAAGGCACCCACCTTCTCTGCAGTTCCTCCTGCGTCTCAGCTGAAGCAGGACCAGGTCCTGATCCTGCAGACAACAGGCTTAATGGGACACTATAATATAAATCAATACAACTCTCCTTTAAATTAACACCTCTTTTTATGGGTAACACTTTACCTTTAAGGACAATGCTTCATTTTATGGGTACCACTTTGATTAATAACCCTTCATCCTTAAGGATAACATCTCAGCATTTTGCAAAAAGCCTAATGTTACAAAAAGCCTTTGTCTTTTTGCCTGAGACATGTTAACCAAGATTATCTTAAACTTCCTGAAAAGATTTTTTTAAAAGGTTTCTTACAAAGCTTACACATTCATTCATCCGGGTATTTACTCCAGGATTGAGTAGCTTTGACAATGTCACAACAGCGGTTTCACTAATGGGATTTTATCTCATTAACTTTACAGTCGCCAGTTATAGCCAGTAAACTCATATTGCGTCATTTTATTGTGGTCTTTTAAATTTCAGACATTTAAATAATTGCTTTGGTAAAACGAACAAACAAACAATAAGAAAAACAGTATAACAATACACCACAATCCACTTTCACAGAAGTGAAAATGGCCTACATGGACACAAACCACCACTTATTGAGGAACACACCCAGACAGTAATCCGTCCTTGTGGTGATACAACTGAACTAAAGGGTTATTAATGAAGACTCCATGGAACATGGACACAACCTGCAGCAGCTGGGGGTGGCCCAGGCTTCTCCTTAGAGCTTTCTGGGGAGGGGGGTCTGAAATCGACCCCACGGGTAGACTCTCGCATTCTCTGGAGAACCTCATTTGAAAGCTGGAACACAAGTGTATTACATTAGTTAAAAAGTGTCACTCGTGAGTACCAAGCTTATAAAATACAAATATATCTATGTATATACACCAATGAGTCAAAACAACCCCCACCTGAAACTAATAATCTTGACTATGTAGTAAAAACAGTACATGTCAAGCTCTGGATATGTAAGGTAACATTCAATACTCGTAATCAAAATGTTGATGGCATAAGAAATGGACAGTAATATAGATCTGAGTGACTCTGACAGGGGGCCAAATCATTATTGCCATAAGAATGGGTCAGAGCACCCCTGAAACAGCAAGGCTTATGGTCAGCTGTGGTGAGGACCTACTGAAAGTGATCTGACGGGGGGGGGTGGGGGGACATGAACGACTGACAGGGTATTGGGCAGCCAAGACTCATCAATGCGGGATATGAAAAAAGGCTATCACATGGTACAGACCAACAGAAGGGCTACTGTGGGACAAATGGCAGATAATGTTGATGACCATGGGTGTATAATGGGCAAGCAAGCGTCGGAACAGGGCGTTGGAGCAATGGAAGAAGGCCGCCTGGTCTGATGAGCCCCATTTCCTGTCGCATCGTGTGGACGGCCAGGTACGTATCGAGCATCTGTGGGATGCCTTGGACCGGTAAGTCCTATCCATGGCTACTCCCATACGCAGCAGGGCTCCATGCACTGTTTGCCGTTGCCCTTGTCAAAGTGGGTTGATGCCATCTCTGGTCAGCTGGCTGGAGTGAGATTTTCAATTCGAGACAGGTCCGCACATACAGTTATATGTATGTTACACTTTAATTACCTTGAAAATAGTCTGTAGGGTTTGCAAACTGCCCCAACGCTCTTCATGTAGTTAATTTTAGGTTTATAATGGGATAATATAGATTTGCTGTATGATTTCTTGTGTGCGGGAGGGTCTGAAAGCGTGAATGTTGCGCCACATGAGAGGTGGCGGTCCTGGCATTGTATATGTGTGTGTATGTGCTGTTCTGCAGGCTCCCCTAGAAACAAGGCACTGTGAAAACGTTTACAATAAATCATCTGACGAGCAGGGGGTGCACCCTCAGCTCCCCTGGTAAAATAGCCGATGGCTGAAGTGCTGACATTGCCAATTGTTTCAGTGACGCCGTAAGACAGAATCGCAGCGGCTAAAAACCTGCTTAAAACAAGCGAGCAGGATCAGGGCGGGACGCGGTCTCCGGCTGACTCACTCCGGCGGGTGGGAGCGCTTCACAGTTGTTTCCTCTACAGATATTTTTACAATCACTCAGTTTGCCCCTGCATTCAATAACCTGCGTGTAATGATGCAATGGCTGGTGAGGAAAGACGTGCTCCAAGTTTTAAAGTTTGATGTAGCGAAAGTATTAGAAGCACCGTCCAGGGCCGGGACACGTGCGTCACCAGCAGCCATCGGCTTCCGAGCTACCCGGGTCTGTCCTACATAAATCATCATGGTGTCACACCAGTACCGGAACACTGGACACGTATATAAGTGATGTTTTTTGACCACGTTTTACAAGGATTCGCATAACGCCTGAAGTGCTGCTACAAAACAGCGAACAAATTAACCATCAGAGTTTGGGTTCACGTTTTAATTCCCACCAGACTAGCTTCCTACCTTAACTCCATGAAGAACCTGGACCCGGTCCGTCTCATCGAGACCGAATGACACTTTTCTGGTCGCGCTTTCACCGGCTCCCATTCTTATCTCAGGCTTCTCAGGACAAAAACGCCCCAAATAATCGAAGACAAGATTCTTCTTTTTCTTTCTTCCACTCGGCTGAAAACTGCGTGACCAGAAAGCTACACTACATTCGGCACAACGCGAGCTTCTTTTGCGCAGTTTTCTTAATACATAAAATTATAGAAGTGGGCGAATGGGTTGCTGGGAATTGTAGTCCAAATGACAAGTTAAGTAGGTCCGGCATCTGTTTCAATGTGATATCAGAAAAAATGTTAATGAAAAAGTTAATTCTGATCTATATAATATTGAACAAAAACACTCAACCCGTTTAGCAGGAAAAATACAAAACAAACATGGCGAAATGTACTATTATATTGATCACTCATATAATGTTCAACACATGATTTAATGTCTTGCAGAAAAAAACCTAATGCAGTATTGTAATGAAATAATAATTAAAATTGTAGTATTTTTCCAAAACAATCCATCCACATACAAATATTTTTTTTAATCTTTAGCTGAAGTCTATTATGTATGTACATATAAGTTTCACCTCTGGGAATTCTTGGCTAATTACTCATCTGACCCCATTATTTTGATCAAGAGTGCACAAAAATAAACATTTTTTTCTACTGTGTTTGAGGACATTCATAGTGACAGTATCAATAATTTGCTGGTAAAAGGTCCAGTTAAGCAAGAGGCATAGCCTAGAACGACTACCTGCACGCAATCAGCATTGTTAGATCAAAATTACTGGAGAGTTCTACCAGTTTCCACATTTTTGTTTTTCCCTTTCCCCAACCCCTTATTTTAGGTTTATACTTGCAGAAGAAATGTTATCACAAAAAAGCACAGAACATACATGAATAACTTATCAAGTTTGCAGACAGAATAGTAATTCATTTTTGTAGACATACTACCTCTGCACATAAAATACTTAATGCAATGACAGGTTCAGGAATAAAAAAATACATCCACAACAGAATCTAATGAGTGGAGATGCACCAGTAAAAATTATTCAAAGCGGCGTACAACACTGTGTTCAGCCCCATCTCAAATCTACATGGCTCAGTGATATTGGCAGGAGAAACGAATGATCGCTGGTGTCTCTTCTGCGGGTTTCAAAAATCTTTTAGGGAGTCCAGGCTTAAGGTGTGTTTAACATGTGTTATTAAAATCTCAGATTCACTTTGAGAATCACTGGGTAATAGTGTGTGCGTGTGTGCGTACAAAGGTGCACTATTCACAGAATAAGACAACTCAACTGGAAAGGAGCCAAGGATAAAAGCCAAACGTGCAATTATTACGTAGATGCATCAGTGCACAAGATGCGAGCCGTACATCCTGCAAACATCAGAGCTCACTGTTTTTATGCAGGGCTTCTTCATGTAAAATAATGAACATAACGCATACATCGAGTACTGATTCTACTAATAATACCAATAATGCTAAAGTCAAAACACTTAATATAACACAAGCATTTCCTTCTTAGATGTTTAATACCCTGATGGAGATCTCTAAACCATGAGGCACAGTGCCTACAGGTCGGTGCCAAGATAACAACTATAGCATTACGAGACAATAAGAAACCCAGTGAGTCAAAAGGGAATGTACTTGTAGAAGGTGTCACATGTCCTAGGATTTTTGGCCCAGTTTGCTATCAAACCTTTAGGGGACAACTATTTAAGATAGCTATGAACTTCAGGCGTAGACTTTGCAGAAAAGTCTCAACTATCGCTGAAGGTTTTGGCGGTGTGTCTGTCGTGCCTGATCCCACAAGTCAACAGGTCCTGGAAAGGTGGCGTTAACCAGGCCTCTCCGTCTTCTCCTCACAGGAGCCACCCAAAACCTAGACGTTGATGGGCCTCCAGTGGTCACTGTCGGCATTGTTGATGCTGCCCACCCCAAAGGGCCCAGACACGACATCATCCAGGTAAGCCGCCGAGCCGTCGATCTGCGTGTTGGAGTAGGGGCCCCGTCCCAGCACCTTGCGGCCCACAACAGTGGTGGGGGGAAGGTGCACATCTGTGTCATCGGGCTCGTCAATCTGAGACTTGTATGAGAACAGGACCTTGGGCTCTGAGCTGCAAGAAAAGGCCACCATTACCACTGATACAGTGGGGCAGAGCTGAGGCTTAACATGGCTTCTATCCCACACACATTCACTTTTATTACAGTTTTCCTCTCAAACACATACAGTACTGGACAGAAATCTTAGGCAGCCAGAGAAAATGATGCTTAAATGAGATTCATGTTGGTGTAAAACTTTACCATTATGTCTGACGAAGTGTGTTAGCTTCACCACTTCAAAATCTCTCCTAAAATCACCTCAGTATTGCAGCAACCATCCAACACACCCGTGTATTTTGGGTGTATGGCTAAGATCTTAGTAACTTTCTGGAGAACAGAAGAAATTACTGTTAGTTTTTATTGTGTTATTCTTAATATGCATGTTAAATTGTGTTTAAAGTGTGTTTTGGTCTAGGCAAATATATAATTAATCCCCAGATTAATATCTTTAAACATTTCCTTTGACTACTTAACAATTTTGCACAGTACCGTACATACAAAAAAGGACATGCACACTCATACACTGTACTGTACATACCCAAAAAACCCTCGGAGAAACGTGATGTAGATCAGCGGCGCAAACACAGAGAAGTACAGGAACGTTGTCACATCAACACAGCTATAAAAAAAAAAAGAGGAAATTCTCAGTTCAGGAACAGGCTATTATCCTGAACTGAAAAGACCACAGCTTTTCCCAAAATGAATGAACTAAGTTAAGGAATCTTAACAGGGATGCTTTGAGGTCAATACAGGCCTTGAAAAAGCCTTATGCAGATTCTTACCAAAAGATATGTAGGGACCTTAAGTCTGATGCAGCAGAAAGATTCAAAAGCAACGAAAGGGGGAACGTTCTTGATGCTTTACAGGGTGAAAAGAAGTAGCTGCTTAATCACAGACCAACAAAGTTATGGCAGAAGCTTACCACAGCCCCTGGATAATGTCGGCACAGAGCAGAGCACTGCCCAGGCCCTGGTAGAAGTTGAGAAATGACAGTATGGCAGCATAAATGTAGAAACTTCTCCTGGCTGAAAAGGAAAGTAGACCATTCAGAGAAACCACTGGGACTTTAATTTGAAAAGATATTTGATTGACTTTTTCAGGAGGAAAGGGTCACTATAAGTGAATTACATAGTAGACCAAACCTATCCCTACCTCCTATTGGTGATGGTGATAATGGACGGTACTTACATGGCAGGGACAGCCTCTCCCTGATCGGAGTCTTCGGAAGGATGACTATCAGAGAGTAAACCTGGAGTACAAAAGAGGAAAGTCAGGAACGTGAAGCCTGTTCTCAGTCTCACCGTGCTTCAGGATAATTCCCTCAGTGCAAAATCACCATCCTGTCTTTCGTCAGACCCTGTGCAAAATGCCCTTGTGTTTTACGCTGATCAGCACCACTAGGGAATCACCAGGAAGAAGAAGCAGGAGCTGGCCAGCCAGAAGTGGCGCCCCCCATGGCCGTAGATGTTGAAGTCCTCCGCAGACAAGTGTTGGTCAGGGAACAAGATCTCCAAGGTGCCCTGGAGGACACAGAAGGCAGACCATTCACATCTATGAGTCACATTCTCTGGGTGACGTCCCGATAAAAAGTGTGGTCGTTTACCTGTGACACGGAGTACACCAGTGCCAGTACAGCAGTTATGGCCAGAACTCGTTTTATGCTGGACTTGCTCTCAAGATGCCCTGGGAATGGAAAATGTGCGACATCAAGGACAACTTTATGCAACTGTGCACAAACGGCTACCGTAGGAGGGGCAAAAAACAATATAATATAATGATAACGATCCACTGCATTTTAGGCTAATTTGGCGACGTCATTTTTCCCTGAATCTTATAGGTTTACAAAAACTCAATTCAAGTCTTTTATTATGAACTTTATGCAAACACGTAATCAGTAGCACCGCCAGTTTGTAACTGCAAATGTTAGTTTGAAAAACAGTTCACGATGTCATACACTGCCTCAGTGGCCAGCACTAAGCTGTATTGTACTTGGCACATTACACTTGCTGTCACAAATAGAACCAAACACAATTTGTTCACTAGCAACCAGGTTTCTGGATTTGATCACGGCATGAGCGCTGCTCACGGTTTGGTGCAGACATACCAAAGGCCAGCCCCAGTATGATGACACTCAGCTCGATGGTGAGCAGGAAGAAGCGAGTGATCTCCCACAGCACCTGCATACAAACTATGTGTTATCGCTGCTTCTCTGAATATGATGACATATGTCATGAAAAGCTGCACATTTTGTACGTAAACATGCAAAACCTGTTTTTATATTATATTACTCAATATGTTTAACTGGAGTGTTGTAAAAATCCTATCCTTCTAGCCCTTCATATCTCCAGGACACTGTTTTTGCTTATTTATATTGTAAAACAGCGTAACTGAACAATAATCTCTCCAACCTGGATTTTAAGGTGTAACGTAAACTTATGAAGGCACTGCACAATTCCTTTCATTTGGCTGGGGAGCTTTGAGAATGACCATTGTAAACATCTTACCTTGTCAATGGTAGAGCTTTGAGAAGGACCATTGTAAACATCTTACCTTGTCAATGGTAGAGCTTTGAGAATGACCATTGTAAACATCTTACCTTGTCAATGGTAGAGCTTTGAGAAGGACCATTGTAAACATCTTACCTTGTCAATGATAGTGGCAGCGTTGGAGGCACATACAGTCATGGAGACAATGGCACGTGTGATCCCTACTGCCGCCACCACAAACACCTGTGATCGGTTCACGAGAGGCTGTGAGAATGATGCTCACCAACTGAGCACAGCTTGAAGTAAGCAGCTAATCAAAACAGTCATTAATGAACTTTCAAAAGGACCTACATACGCAACCAAAAGCTAGGCTAAAATGCAAGGAATTGCATTTAAACTGTCAGGCATCTGCTCACTCTCCCGATAACCATCTAGCTGAATGACGTCCCCAAAGAGGTCAAGCAGCACGTCTTTTAAATTTTGCACAATATGCTCCACATACCAGTATGTAGAATGTGATGAAGATAGGGCTGGAGGTGACACGAATCTTGGCACGGGCCGACGGCAGCTTCCACATCAGGAACACGAAGAAGGCCACGTTAGGGACCAGCAGCAGCACATCCCAGAAACGTACTCTGCCAAAACGCAGACAAGTGCAGCCTCAGTTACTAATGCAAGCTCAGAATAAGGGCCTCAGACGCTAACGCAGGCTCCGAATAAGGGACAAAGAGTACGGAAAAAGCAGGAATATTCCAAACTACAACAGCCAAGTTGTTTGGCATGTTGTTTAACATGTGAAAATAACAATAATGCAAATCACAATCTAGAAACAAAGTTTTCTTCAGTATCTGACAGAAGTTATACTGTATATTCATGATCTGATTCATGATGGCATAATGCATATGTAAACAGCAAGCATCCTAAATCTTTAAACACTGCCAACAAAATACCAACTTAAAAACGTGTACAACACCACATTTTAGCACTCAGTTGGTCTAAAATTGGCCTTAATTTTCAACTGACATTCATTATCTTCATATTATTTTTTTCAAAATGTAGAAGAGCAATCAGTACCGAGAGGTGCCAATGTCTTCATAGAGGATCTGTAGACACTTGTGTGGCCTGGTGATGTTGGCCTCTGGCTCCGGGTACCAGGTGGGGGCCGCGGAGGCGTTCCCGGCTGACGTAGGGAGAACGCTGCCATTGCCATAGACAGTAAACCTCACCACTGCGGTCACGGCGTCCAGCATGCTGCAGTCTGATCGCCTGGGGAAACACCGTCAAGGCAACTTTCTTTACACTTCATTAAAGTCCACGCTATGACCAGTTTTCTGGAGGCTGCATCCAGGTCTCATAAGCAAAATCAAAGCGGTGATCTGGTAAAGAAAATCGAACCATGCGCAAACCATATCTCTCATTAACTCTCAACACGTGAGCCATGGACTTGCAGATGATCTGTATTTGTTTACTAACTTGGACGCTGGACTCACATTTAGTAAGCCTCCAAAGGTGTCATGCGGTTCTGCGCACTGACTCATCTAACAAGGGCAGTATTGTGCTTGCACACATAAACAAACTACCCGGACAAATCGGTCGCTGGGCATTTAGTCAAGTATGGTGATTTTAAATGCACAATGATCGCCAATCCCCCGCTGACCACTTAGTAAAATTAAACGAATTTCTTTTATCTATTCTAAGAATACATATTTTGTTGTCCTACCTGCAAATAGGAGATGCCTCGCATTAAATAGTCCTGTTTCACAAGATCCGTGTACGCATACCGATGGGTGATCTTTTAGGTATTTTCATGTAAATATCAATTGCCTTTGTTGTTAAACAACAAACCAACCAACCAACCAACTAAACCAATACCCAAGTCCCTCTGTCACCTGACAGGTCCATACACGTAGAAACGAAACGTTTCCTTCTTCCACACATTAGGAACCGTGTACAAAGATCATGCCTTGAGTTCTAAATGCTTATGCTTAACATATAGTTTTATAGTTGACACGGTATTTTTCACATTTATTTAAAACATTATTCGTGAAACGTATTCTATATATGTATATTAAAATCTGAAAAATTGTCATAGCGATGAATTCATTTTACACAAGTATATAATTCGTTTTGCTTTTCGTCAAAAAAATTATGATGATCCCTAAGTATGGTATCCCAATTTGCCCTGGTATTTGTAGTTTTTATCGCTTTAAAGAAAGGCTTTGGCTGCTAACGGCAGCGTCGTTGGAGCGCTATTTTGAGTTAACTAACACTTATGGGTACCCACCCACTTATAGGGTGACCAGATAATCCATGTCAGGGAGGACGCATTGAGCTAGGACAGGATTTGTAAAATACCATTTCAATTAAAAGGACCTGGATCTCAGTTAAGCACCGAGTTCTTGCTGTGTTCTGATTGATCAGTCTCCTATAATCATGCATATGCCACTAATGTTAATGTGTAACAGCTGGATGAGTTTTTCAATCAAACCAGTCAAAGCACAAGAAGAAGTGAGCTATTTAGCCAAACACAGGTGCCTTTCAGTTTTAAAGTAGTTTGTAAAACCTGGAGTAGCTTAAAGTGTACGTCCTCCCTGACATGGATTATCTGGTCAGCCTACTTACTGTATGGGTGGAGTTACGAGTCCACTTTGTGGTGCCTCCTGTGTTTCCTCGTTTCGTTCATGTCATAAATGTTTATATATTGCTCCGGTTACTCATAAAAAGAAGCACTAACAAAATAAACACTAAAACGAAGCAGATTAGGAAAATTAATATATATCTATACACTCAGTGACAAAAAAGCACCCAGACAAAGTGGTGGAAATGAAATTAATCTAAACGTGCTGAAAGGTCATGTGACTGTATCGCAATGATTATGATATCAGATCAAACAGACAACAGAGTTGGCAGTATGGGCACACATCAGTAGGGTGTGGCACCCCCTGGGCCTGCATACCTGTGGCGATACGGTGTGGAAGGAAGTCGTACAGCCGTTATATCCTCTCCTGTGGCAAGTCGGCCCACAGCTGTTTTAACTGGCGCTCAAGATCCTGCAGATTGGCATCCAAGCTGATCCCACACACGTTTGACTGGGGAAAGATTGGGGGACCTGGCTGGCCACAGGAGGACCTCAACATGACGCAGGCAGTCCATAGACACACGTGCCGCGTGGATGGGCGTTGTCTTGTGAAAGACTGTAGCAAGGTGCTGTCTCAGGAGGGGTAAGACATGCGGACGCAGGATGTCACTGACGTAGCGCTGTGCCGTCAGGGTCCCCCGAATCACTACCAGAGATGACCTGAAGTCATACCCTATGGCTCCCCACATCATGATGTCATACCCTATGGTTCCCCACACCATGATGCCAGGAGTAATGCCAGTGTGTCTCTCCAGAACATTAGCAGGATTGGTCCTCTCCCCTTGGCGCCACCATACACACACGACGCTCATCCGTGGTCATGCAGAACCGAGATTCATCTCTGAACATGGTACCACGTCACTCATCAGTCCATGCCTCTCGGTTACAGTACCACTCCAAACGCAGCTGTCTCTGTGCTGGTGTCACTGGCAGTCTACGCAGGGGACAGTGAACCCATAGTCCAGCTGATGCCAGTCATTGAGACATGGTGCAGGATGACACTGGGTGTTATTGAGAGTCCAGTACCTGTGTCTGGATGGCAGGCGCAGATGTCATGGGGTTCTGTAATGGTTGGCGCACGATACAACGATCCTCCCTTGGTGTGGTCTGGTACGCCCCCACTGAGTGTCCAGAACCCCGCAGCCAAATTCCAGCAACAAGGCCTGACTGCCTCAAAACATAGATGCATCCTACACTCGCTAACTCACACTAACATAGGAGATAGCACCCCAGACTAACATTAGGGACATATACACCCATGTTTGGTCTTGTTTGAATGGTCACAGTACGATGGACACAATATTCTCAACCTTAACACAGTATGTTCTCACATAAAAGAAATATAGAAAGTAAGACTAAACCCACCAAAGTGGATGATCGTATCACATCCCACATTCCTTTTAAAGCAATTTGATTGGCTGAGGATCTGAGAATTGATAAGATCAGCAGTTGTCCAGGACACACACACAAGATCAAAACAGTCCCTAAATTAATCAATCACAATATTTCGTCAGGAAATTTAGACATTCCGTCATTTGGTTTGGAATACTTAAGGAAGAGCTCCAGAGTAGCAAGGGGACACAGTCTGTAATCAGAGCTCCCACATAGTGCTGCGTGAATCTATCTGTAATCAGATATTTTCTGCAGTTACTCTGCGCCCACTCAGCTGAGGTATGTAATTGTTTAATTTTTGCATTGTTTCTGACTTGATATAGTTCAGGAGTTTGTGGCCACATATTTGAATGAATTAGATTAGTGTTATATTTTGTTAAATTGATGTCTTGTATTAATTGTGAATAAACTGTGTTTTGATTACTTCTTGGCTGTCTGACTTTGCTAACCTCAGTATGTTTCCGGTAGATTGAGTTATTTCCCCGGTCAGAGTTAAACTGCCTTTTGTCTTGGGTATATTAGCTTCACTACATCTCTTGCAGCCTCTGACTCGACCCCATTTCTCCGGGAACCAATGCAGCTGTGCAAGCTGAGTTAGGGTGAATATCGGCTCAGCCTCTGAGGAATGGCCAAGCTGAGTTAGGGTGAATACCGGCTCAGCCTCTGAGGAATGCCCAAGCTGAGTTAGGGTGAATACCGGCTCGGCCTCTGAGGAATGCCCAAGCTGAGTTAGGGTGGATACCGGCTCGGCCTCTGAGGAATGCCCAAGCTGAGTTAGGGTGGATACCGGCTCGGCCTCTGAGGAATGCCCAAGCTGAGTTATGGCAAACACCGACTCACAAACTCAAATACAGCAAGTGTCAGCTGAGCCTCTGAGGAGTTGTATGAGTCACCGGGCCCGAATGGTCGTCTAGGCTGACATTGTGTTAAGTTGTACTGATTTCTCAACCTCTGAACTGAGTCCTACATAGCAGATTTGCAGATCACCCTATCGGCCGAGGCGAATCCGGTGTACTCCACCATCCAGGATTAATGGGAGTCCAGCAATAGAAAGAAAAGCCCAGGACTAATATGAATAACAGAAATGTCATGACTAAAACATCATGAAAAGTCTTTAATTAAATTAAATAGAGGTTATTCTTGAAGACTGGAAAAAGACAGATGTTGCAATATGTCGCCAATTTGTTCCTTCCATGCCTAGAAGACTTAGTGCTGTACTTAAAAATCATGGAGGTCATACAAAATACTAGATGTAGTAATATTTGTTGTGGGGTGTATTCATTTTTGCATCACCTGATTTGCGTAAAACTGAAGATTCTGTAATCTAAGTTATATTATTAACCTTACTTTCATGTTCATTATTTAAGAAAATGTTCTATAAAACTCTTCTTGTCAAAATTTTGGAAATTGTTGTTGTGTTCAGTGAGATTTTGATTAAAATCTTACTCCTGATAGGGCGTGTACTCATTTATGCTGAACACTGTATATATATATATAAGGTCTTGTGCAGCAACAACGCTTACCCACTGCGCCGCCTTCCTAGGCTTGCACAACGTGTAATGTTAATATTGACATCACATGTTATACACATGGGCATGAGGGGCACTGCCAGGACCAAGACCGGGACTGGGTACACGGGACAATGAACATGGAACCATCACAGGGAGTTCTGTACCTCTGGTAGACAACAGGAAGGATCAGGGCAGTACAGCAAAGGGGAACTAGGAGAGAAAGGTGGGAAACAAGGAACTCAGAAACAATAGACAGAATGGAAAACATTACAAGGAGCTGGAGCTGAGGATCAGGGTTACATGTAATAACAGGACATGGCACATGACAGTGAGGGGTGCTCGATTACTCAGGCACAGGCTCCGCCCATTCAGCTATGTGGCAGCCTGGAGAGCAGAGGAAAACACAAGGGTTAGTGAAGGTGCTAAACATAGAGGAATAAAAATGGAATAGTCAGTGACCCCTGCTGGCCAAATGTGGAAACAACTGATGGGAGGAGGGAGAGACCAATCCTTACAGTAATCAAGTTTAACTGAGTATTTGTGAAAGCTCTAGATATATATCAATGTTTTGTTATTTAATTTTTCTGTTTTACCCATTTGCAATTTTAAAAGCTTATATCTCTATCACTTGTTTATGCAGATATCCCACCTTCAGCATGTTGATTTCAGGGAGACAGATGAGGGACAACTGGGAGCGGGGTGGGGGTGCAGGCTTGGGGGGTATTACAGTAATACTATGTACCGTGGTATTTTTGTTCCAAAAAACACAACATGTAAAGCCCTGTGTTGTGCACGATGCAAAAAATGTAGACGGAATCATGGAATCCAGACATAAAAGCAGAATTGATAGTGAATTTATCAGGTTTCTGATTAAACAGAGGCCATTATAAATTATTGTGAGTGCCTGTTATCCAGTGGTTTCATTAATTGATTGATTGGTAATATAAAAAATAAAATGCCCTAATGTTATGCAGGCCATTATTGTTATTATTATTATTATTATTATTATTATTATTACTGTTGTTGTCATTCCTTCAACAAGAGCCACAACTAGCTAGTTAGCTAGCTACTGAATATTATGTTTACTTTTCTCGTTGATTTGATAGCGATTTGATCGCCTAGTCAGTGATTAAACACCACTCATCCTTCCATCCATTTTCTGCCACTTATCCGGGGTCAGGTCATGGGGGCAGCAGTCTAAGCAGGGATGCCCAGACCTCCCTCTCCCCAGTCACCTCCTCCAGCTCCTCCAGGGGAATTCCAAGGCGTTCCCGGGCAAGCAGAGAGATATAATCTCTCCAGCGTGTCCTGGGTCTGCCCTGGGTGCTCCTCCTGGTTGGACATGCCTGAAACACCTCCCCAGGGAGCCGTGCAGGAGGCCCAAACCACCTTTTGATGTGGAGGAGCACCAGCTTTACTTTGAGTTCCGCCCAAATGTCTGAGCTCCTCACCCTGTCTCTAAGGCTGAGGCCAGACTCCCTGCGAAGGAAACTCATTTCTGCCACTTGTATCTGCGATTTCTTTCTTTTGGTCACTACCCAAAGCTTGAGACCATAAGTGAGGGTAGGAATGCAGATCGACTGGTAAGTCAGTCTACCGGCTCAGCTCTCTCTTCAACAGAACAGAATGGTACAGCGTCCGCATTATGCTGCACCGATCCACCTGTCAGTCTCCTGCTCTCCCTCACATGGAGTTAAATTTTGGCCCAGGTCTAAGTAATGAATGAGCTGTCCAAGTTCTGTGTACTATCTATTTTGTTAGGAAAAGCCATGTACTAAGACAGGTGTTAAAGTGCTTCGTGTTTGCCTTCATTTGCTTTCCTAAGGTTCCTAAGGTTTGACACTCATTCATCCTTTGGTCGTCTTCCCGAATACTTTCAGAAATAAAAGGCATTTCTTTTCTCTTGTGTTTGTGTGGGCAATGCAAAAGTGAGCCCTTTCACCAGCTTCACACAAAAAAAATGGTTTCCAGCTGTAGTCAGCATGACATTTTCAATTCAAGACAAGTCTGCACACGCATTTACATGTATGTAAGTTTTATTACCTTCTAAATCAGGGGTGCCCAATCTTATCCGCAAAGGGCCGGTGTGTATGCAGGTTTTTGGGATAACCTGTAGGTCAGCTGTTCAAACCCAGGTGTGAGGACTCTTCAGCCAATCAGTCCTCTAATTAGTAATCTAATTAGGGAGTTGCAGAGAAAGCCCGCATACACAGCGGCCCTTTGTGGATAAGATTGGCCATCCCTGTTCTAAATAGTCTGTAGAGTTTGCAAACTACCCCAATGCTTTTGATGTAGCTAATTTTAGGTTCATAATGGAATAATATATATTCGCCATAAGGTTTATTGCGTGAGAGTCTGACAGCATGAGCGTGACGCCAAATGCATGATGACAGGGAGATAAAGAATAAGGAAGAGGTGCTGGGTATCTGTGATGACCTACAGTACTGTGAAAAAGTCTTAAGCAGTCACAGAAAATATTATGATGATACAATGAAGATCTTATGTCTGTCAAAGTGTGTCAGCTTAACCAGTTCAAAACTTTTCCTAAAATCACCCCAGCATTTGCAGCACTTATCCAATACACCCGTGTATTTTTTGACTCGACTACTACCCCACCTTGTTTGGCTAATCAATATCTCATTGAGTTAACTAATTATGCTAATGAGCTAATTGAGCTGGTAGTGAAAGTGAACAAATACGAATGGAATGGCTCAACTGTCTGGCAGACAGTGGGGAAGTGAAGTGCAGTTCATCAAGCCATTGATACTAGTAACAGTTTTGGAGAACAGGAGAAATTCTTGCATTTTTTATGATGTTAATTTGCATATTGCTCTAATATTAAATACAGCCTTAAACATTTTCTCTGACTGCTGAAGACTTGCACAGTACTGTATGTGCATCACATGAGTATAATTCAGTCTAATTAAAGGACAAATATTCTGCCATTTGTCAAAAACAATTCATAAGATCTTATGTCTTACAAATTGTGCAATATGTGAGAGTATCGATATTTTAAATGATACAGTATTAAGAAAAGTACACATGAATATTACTAATGTACACTACAAAAAAAACTTCAAAAATTCAGTGTGAAAAATTGATTATTATCAGCAGAAAATGATACATGTAGTTATGGTAGTTAACTTTCTGATTGTAAAAGTATTTTTTTGTAGCCTTAAGTAGCTCAACAAGTAAAGTATTGCACTAGCAATGCAAAGGTTATGAGCCCAAATCCATGGGTGCAAACATAAAAAATGGTAACTCTTCCCTTTACTGTAAGTCTTTGGGATGAAAGCATCAGTTAAATGTAGACTAGCTTTACCACATGCCTCTGGTTACCCATGCCATTATATTAATAATCTCACCCTGACAATACCAAGCCAAATGACATACATCACATGTCATCCAAACATTTCCATAAACAATAAGAAAGTAAAAACCTTTAAAGTGGTAAAATAATAGGAAGAACCTCTTTTTCATAAAACTAAGGAGTGAATGTCACTAGGAGTGAAGTCATAATGTTTATATTACCCAATGGACCAATGCAACCAAAATGGAAGCTGAGAGACCTGGAACTACTGAGTCTACCGATTGAGCCCAACGTTCAAAAGAATATACGTTCAAAAGTAAATAATATTAGACTAAGATGTATTTGAAAATGTATTATTTCTCTATTGTATTATTTGCTTACTCATTAAAGAATAATTATATATTCAACTATAATTTGCAACTAATGAAACGTGACTGAAACTGCATTCATTCTGCATTTTATAGAGACTAACATGCACAATTATACTCAGCTCTGTAAGGTTATCCAGGACTCAGAGTTAGTTGAATGGATGGCAAAAGCAGGGTACACCATCTCCTGAAACTTGGCTGTAAAGGTGTGCAGGTGTTCCCGCCGCCCCTTGATGCTATGAAAGCACAGCGTGCCCCTACTGTAGTCCAGGGCCATTTCTAGCCTCAAGGGAGGAATAGTCACAGGAAGTGTCACTGTGGACGATGCATGGCAGGCTGTCAGTTTCTTGTTCTTCCACTGGAGGCGCCAGGAGATAGAATTGTGGCCCAGGCGGCTGTGATCCCCACGTCTGGGCACACTGGGATAACACACACCCACAGACCACATGCACTGGCCTACCTCCACCACCCAGACATGTTCTCCACCAGAGAAACCCTGGGAGCACAGCACCTGAGGCGCAGCCTGGAATCGTTCGGGGTGCTCTGGGTAGACCTGCTTGCCGGCATTATACTTCACCGTCCTCAGGTCATTGGACAGGAGCAAGCTATTGTGGACTGTGTTGGGGTCAAAAGTCAACTCCAATGGAGTGAGCAAGGTATGCAGTGCCTGGAGCAGCATAGTCATATCTGTCTTCAACTCATCTGTTCTTGTGAGAGCACATAAATGTCTTGTGTCCACAGTAGGAGGTGCTGGCATATCCACGTTACTATCTAAGGCTTCTTTAAGCTGGGACTTGATCGATAGAAACTGGTGAACAAACAGGCATTGGTCCGTCTCTGCCAGAACAGATTCAGCCTGCTCCTGGATATCCTTCAGGAGACTCTGCTGCTTAGTCATCTGACTTCTGTTGGCCTGCCAGCTCTCCTGCTTGCACGCATGCTCCTCCTCCAGCTGCTTGCTCAGTCGGCACTTGTATCCGTTTAGCTGGTTAATCATACTGTCCAGGATGCCCAGGGCTTTTACTGTAAGATGGTCGCTGGCATCAGCGAAAGCCATCTCCTCCCCAAGGCTCTTCTGCAGCAAGATAGAGGTCATCTGGAGCTTTTCTTTGGCGAGCTTCAGGTCAGCCCTTAAAATGCACCTCATCTCAGCCCCGGCACTCTCAAAGTTATGAATATCATGGCCGTAGTGGGTACCCTCAATGAAGCAGCTCGCACAGAGAAAGGCGGCATCAGTTGCGCAGTAAAACTCCAGGTTCTTGCTGTGAGACAAGCATTTCTGGGAGTTCAGGTCTGACAGTGGCTCAACCAGTGTATGGTTCCTGAAGGACATCTTCTTTGCATGAGCCTGGAGATGATCGGTACACAGGCTGATCTCACATTTCAAACAGGTCTTGAAGGCCGGTTTTCTGATGGGCAAGCAGTAGTCACACTGCACTGTATTCATGTCCTGGCCCTTCCCTGTGGTGATCTTGTAGCTCTCAATGATGTTGCACAGCTTCAGGTTCTTCTGAATGTCCTTAATCCCATGATACTCTTGTCGGCATTCAGGGCAGCGGTGTGGTCCTTTCTCCGAGTCTGTGGCAGACTGGATGCAGGAGACGCAGTAGTTGTGGGCACAGGGCAGCATCACCGGTTCTGAGAAGAGCTGCAGGCAGATCGGGCATGTCAGTTCCTGCGCCAGGAGCTCCGTCGACATGATGCCGTTTCACAGTTCGACTTCACACTGAGCTTATGAAAATGAAACATAAAAAGTAAAACTATATGCCACCCCTACTACTGGAACAGGTTCTACCCGTAGAGCAACATCACAAGGAACATCAGCGAGAATCTTGCGATAAGAGCTGTTTAGAACAAGCTATTGTGCTTACGAGCAAGCAGTTTCCAGTTTTTGTTAAAGATGTTTAACATTAACTGTTCCACTGTCAGATTGTGCCAATAGAATGCTATAGTCCGATAACAAAATAAGGTAACGTTTGAGTTAAGGGTGCCCTTCATACTGTTACGTGACACCTACATAAGTCCTTCATTGTCCCAGAATTGGGGGTTCTTGTCACAGACTTGGGGCATGGTACAGGCAGGAAAAAATGGGTGAAGATACACTTGTGGCTCCAGAAAACAGACCACGAGGGGTGAAAACTAAACAGGGGAACGATATAACAGAACAAAAAAATGATCTACGAAGGGAAAACTGGTAACACAGAGAACAAGCGGGGAAGCAAGCATAGCAAAACCAAATAACTAAAATCAGGATCAAGTACTTAAATACAGAGGGCTAACAAGGAAACACAGGACAGGTGAGAACAATCAACAAGGACCGGCACAAGAAAACGGGCAACAGGTGAAACTAATAGTTAAAACAAGGAACTCAGAATCTAGGAAACAGAATCCAGCACTAGGTAAATAACAAAGACAGGTGAAATACAATCAAGGGCACAAAGCAAAAAACCAAAACACAATGCAAACCACAAAACTCAGGAACTGAGGTTAGTAGCCACATGCTCAGCCCATAGCGCCTTGCAGCAATCTGGGGGGCTGGGGAAAAACATGAAGGACTTGGGCACAAGCAGAACTGGATGACCAGCAACGCCTGCTGGCCAAAAGGGGAGGAGACACAAATTTATAATGGTTCGTTCCAACATAAATGCTGACACTGGCAACTCTTGTGTCAAGTTCACATATCATCTGTGTTGACTGTTGTAGGGTTATGTTGACTATCTTAGATTTACGTAAATATAAATTTGTATTATGACACTTTTCATTCAAGTGAGTTGAAAGGTTATAAGATTGACTCTACACTTCACTATGTCAGAGTGACATAAAGTGACAATTTGTCATGTATAGCCAGCTGTAAAACAGAAAGTGAATGCTTTTTAAGTGTTACACGTGGCTACAGTGAACATGAACATAGAATCGCACCTCCAGAGACTGCTGGTTAGTATCTTATCTGTTGTTTTGTGCAGGCAGAGCTTTCACGCTCCTCCTGTGTCTGTGGTGGGTTTGTATCTTGTCTCTGGTTCTGTGTGTGCAGAGCTTCTTAGGTAACATCAAATATATGCATCAAAAGGATGCCCTGCAGAATCTCCTTACATGCAAACTGTGTGTAAGGTACAACACTGACTCGTGGTGAATGCTTTGGTACTATATGAAGTGATTTCATATATTTTCTTTTCTCTTAAGTGAGTTTAACTTTTAATGTCAGTTTGCAACATGTGCGTGAATACTGTGGAAAAATAATAGGACGCTTCTTTGTAAAATATATATATATTCAACCAACCTGGCTTGTTCCTCATTGACGAAGAGCTCCTTCCTTGTTTTATGGGACTTCAATCCTGCTCCTAGGAGCCCGTTACAAACTTGCCCCAGCAGTGCAAGTGTCCCACATTTGAATTCTGCTTCAAAGCTAAAATAGGTGAATAACTGTACACATATGTACTGTATATAACTAATCATTATTTATTCCATATTCACATGATTTTTGTGAGGTGTAATCTTGGTTACACACACACACACACACACACACACACACACACACTTTGACACTCATTTACATGAGTTCTACATGAATGATTCATACTTATTTGGGTAACCTTTATGGGCTTCCCTTGTCAGAAACATTCTCTGCAAAGACCCATCAGACTCCCACGGTGTCCATAAACACACCATTGACAGCTTAATGATCTGTTGCCCAAATGTGTCACCTATATACTGTACAGTATGCCATGCGTTGCATATGGTGAAAAAAGAAGTAAATGAAGGATTCACTGTTTAATTTTACACAGTTACATTGAACTTCCTCTTCTCTTTACCCACAATGCTTCACGACTCCTATGTAACTAATGACTGACAGAAAGAGAGAAAGACAGACAGAATTGTGACTGAATGGCGTTTAGTTCAGGCAATGTTCATTTACAGGAAGGTAACTGCACTGAATAGGAACAAGAAGATAAATGAACATAAAATAACTGCATAATGAGGTACAGAAAGAATGAGGCTCAACCAGTTTCACAAAAACTGCACAAAACAACCACTTGTCAGTCATATGTTAATTTAAGAAAGGGGTTAATTTTTAAATGTCTTATTTCAATTAGGAAGACTCATCTAAATGTGTTTTTACATATAATTAACTGCAGATGAACGCTGTGACTGACACATCAGCAAAACAAGGGAAGTATTTACGACAGAATCATAACAGTCTGTCCCGTGTTTAGCATCCAGACCTATTTGTCACCATGGAAACCAGATGCACCCAGATTTATGATGTACAATTAGCTTTATATTTGCTATATAGCAAAAAAAAACTGACAAGATTTTTTAAATTATGTACACAAGTGTTACGGAAGCCTGTTACCCATGTAACAGTCTCTATGAATAGGTTTCTTAAAGTGCTAAGGAAAGATGCCTTCAGAAAGCATTCGCACCCGTTCCAGTTTTGTCACATTCTCTTGGGACATGGGAAACTGGTTTTCAACACAATCAATTTACACATGATGCAAAGAATTTTAAGAAGTGAGATTTTCATGTCCCATGTCCCATTTCAGCCAATGAATTCATACCATAGACAATTTCTCTCTGAATACATTTGTTTAATTTATAATGATTACCTGAACCTGGTAGTACTAATTGTGCCATATTTTTTTCCAATTTTCTTGATAGATCATAGCTTTCTCAGTATTCTTATGACTTGATCTTTACCACCTTTTTGGTGCATTTGTTTGGATCATTTGTTGATCAAATTTGTGGTCTTCATGACAATGTAAATAATGCAGTTTGCTGTTTCTGTTTTGAATCCTCACAGAATGACAAAAATGGTTATGCTTGTGACTGAACAAGATGGACCCCATTTATGTTTTAGTGCACTTGCATGTGAAAATTTTGCTACCACAAATGGGTACATTTATTGTATAAGAGTGAGAGTCATGCAACACGGGAGATGATGTTAAACTGTCCATTGTGCCAATGGATGGTACACATGAGGTTTCCCTTGATGTTGAGAGGAATGGGAGCTGTATCTCAGACATAGGGAAGATGTAAATTTCGGGACACATTATCAGTAGTGTGCCTTTGAGTCATAGGGTGTTTCGGCCTTTCAACACTAGACACTCTCATCAAAGATGGCCGGCTACAGGGTGATCAGGCCTGAGCTTGTGTCCCGTGCCCAATCATGAAAATTGCCTTGTTGTTCGGCACAGCTCACCAGACTATGCAAGGCAGAGGCGTCTTCTTCCCTGAGTCAAGCCTCGAGCTGACCGCCTACCTTGTTCCCCTCCTCCTGGAGGGTTCTGACCTGGGTTCTCGAGTGGGTGGGGATTAGTGAGCGGGTCATGTTGATGTTCTATGAGCCCAGCAAGGGTCCTTCCGCTTGAACCATATCCACTGGCTGCTTCTTTCGGCCGCTTCAGAGATTGATTTAATTATCTGCCACATAGCCTGTCCATGTATACCAAGGTCTTTCAGCAGCCTAATGGTGGAAGAAGCCACAAAACCTCTGCATCCCACGTCTACCGGATAGACTTTCGCATTCCATCCTCGTTGTTTAGCATCTGATGCCAGTTCTGTGTAGCGCAGTTTCTTTCGCTCATAAGCCTCTTCAACTGAATTTTCCCACGGGACTGTGAGTTCTGTGAAGTAAACAGACTTCAGTGAAGGGGACCAGAGTACCAAGTCTGGCCTAAGGGTGGTGGTTGCAATCTCAGGTGTCTGGTTTGGTAAGACTGGACAGGTTGGGCTGGTTTGGTTGTTTTTTTGTCCCTCTCAGATGAATGTTGGTGCCGTGATGGAATTGGTTGCTCTCAGAGGCAGAGTGTTGATGGTTTTTCTCTTGCTCTCAAGAGCTGCTGCCAGCCACTTGAGGATCTGGTTGTGCCTCCAGGTGTAACGGCCTTGTGTTAGGCTGGTCTTACAACCGGTCAAGATATGTTTAAGTTGGGCAGAGGGCACAGGTTGGGTCTTCTCCATACCATTGGTGGAGGTGTTTTTGGAGATGGGAGCACATCATAAGTAGCCCTGATAATGAAGCTGATGTTGCTTGCCTCCATTTCCCAGAGCTCCCTCCAGCTGAGCTTTCTCCTCTCCAGACCTTCCCACCTCATCCATTGTCCCTGCTTGACGAGAGCAACAGCCTTTGCACATCATTCTGCCTCCTCCTGACGGCGCACCTCCTCAACCACCATTTTCCTCCTCTCTAATGTTGAGGCCTTAGGCCAAGTTGGTTTACTTGCCATAAGGCCAAATCCTCCTCTTCCCCGCTGGACATGCCCCACAATGTCATTTTGCCTCAGAGCTGATGTAGGAAGCTGCACCACGTTGGATGTCCATTTCCGTCCAGTTAACAGGAGCGGTGCAGGATTGCTGATGGTCTGATCTCTGGAGTCCTTCAGAGTCATGTGGAGTCTTATTTTAGAGCTCTTGTACTTTTCGCTGGTGATGGTTAGTTCAGGGACCCCTTTGCCATAGAGGCTGATGTTGGTTAGACAGCGTAGGACACTGAGCCATTTCTTCACGTATGAAGTTACGGTTCGTTCCACCTTCTCTCGTTGTTATTGGGACCTCGTAGATGTGGCCACATTACCCGAGGAAAAAGTCCGAACTGTAGGCACTAGAGCTTGAGCTTATCTGGCAGTAGGGTCTTGCTGATGTTTTCTAGAACGTTAGTGATGTCCTGCCTTAGTTGTTGCACTTGGTTTTTGTCCCTGAGACTTGCGTCGTACCATCTGCCCAGACTTTTTATAGGTTGGTCAGACACCGTTGGGATTGGGTCATCACCGATGCAGAACTTTTAGCTCTCCCTTGACTATTGAGATGCTTCGTGACTTGTTCAGCTGAATTTTCATCCGGGCACACGTGATGTTGTCCTGCAGTTTTCCAAGTAAGGTTCCATAGCATACGGCCCTTCACTGCCAGGATGGGAAACAGTTTCTTCTCTCCGGCCATAAACTTCTGAATCAGAACTGAATCATAATATGTAGTCATACA